AGTTTATATAATTTGTTTTGCTTATAGGTACACACTCTAGAGAGTAAAACTGACATTTATTAGTTAATTTCTAAAAATATATTTTACGTTTCTCTCTTCTTATCAGGGAGGGCGGTGCCCCAGCGCCCCCTATGGGCCGGCCGCCACTGTTTATTGTTCTAAAAATATGATTTAAAATCCGAGTCCACAAGCATCCTCATTAACATTTGCCCCCTAAATTTTCACATTATTTTTACATTATTTATTGGCTGCATCTAAATTTATCAAAAACATTTTCAATTTGAACATAGAAATGAAATAATACAATGTAACCGACAATAACTTAAATGATATCACTGTACTAGGTCATCAAATCAACCAGAAAAGCTGCCTGTAGTGTCTTTAATTGGCCAGCAGGTGTCAGTATTCTGTAAGAAAGGATCAATGCTGCATCAATACAGTTTGGTTTCAAATGAACCTATCGGTTGCAGTTACTGTTCCAACTTTAGGGGTGCGTTATCATTTTATCATTTATCATTTTGGAAGAATTTTAATTTAGATCCAATGATGACTAAAACTCCAGAAACTGGATACATTTTTCTTTTTCTTTCTTTCTTTTTAAATCCATTTGGGAAATTGAAATTTTGAAGAACATGATTAAATGCAGTTATGAGATTTTTAGTGGGATAAATCATACTTCTTTATGCTGGTTAAGATTCTCAGTCATTTAGGTCAGAGTCTTTCCAAAAAAGGAATAAAAAAAGAATCCACCGGACTTTGTATTGCAGACTTAGCGCGCATTCAAAGGGGCGGATCCATTTGTACTGTTCAATCTGCATGTTTTCGAAGCCAAAGGCTTTGTTTTTAATCCTCTCTATAAAGCCTCAAACTTCATGCTATTTCTGACATTTTTAATTGAAAAAGCTTCCTCAGGGTTTATACAGGAAGGAGCTACTTTAATTTAATGCTTTTTAATGCTCCTTTAATGCTGTTAGGAATAAGAACCAATGACTCTCATATATATAAGGGGTGTAAATCACACCCATCATGGTGATTCAGCGTCAATTTCCTAACCCAACGATTCCATTATTCTCGATATTCAGGAATACACCACGATACGATTCGATTAATTGGTTAATTTGTTTTTTTCCCTTACAGGCTAGACAATGTTTCAAATACTAAATAAGTCAATGAAAGCTGTCATATCATTATGCATTGTATTTGAGAAACAAGGGGAAATAACAGAAGTAGATAAGTTGTTCCAGGAGCAAATGGATAAAAATAGATCGGAGGAAAAAAAATAAAAATGAATCGATACTCGTATTGATGCATCGGATCGTCGGCTGTTGGATCGATGCATCGATACAAAACCATTATTATTATTTACACCCTTATTATATATATATAA